GAAAATAGGATGGTTGATTTCTAACCACAAAATATTTTGTGATCTGTTCCGAAAATTCGTCATTCCTGAATATAAGCTATCACGAATACACTGCGTTTCATAAATATAGGTCCACCCTAATTTTTTGCTATTCCAAAGTTGCTGTGCATTTTTGGAAAATGCCGCTATTACCAATAGTTTCCCCATAACGAAAAACCTTGATACTTGATTTCTGGAGAAATCTCGATTCAGAATTATTAAAATATCTTCCTTAGAACGTATTTTCACCGTTTCGCAAATATGACTACACATCACTTGTCGAGAGATTTTACTATAACGAAAAAACGTCACGAATTTTCAATAATGGGATGACCCCCAATAATCATAAGGAACACAATAATACGTTTTGAAATGCTGGTAGCCAAATTAGCTATTACAGTAGGATCGAAATTCGTCTGGGCGCCGATGATCGACCTTTTCAGCTTTTCGGCTGTTCCATTTTGCTTTACTTTGCTGTGGAACTTTATAACAATTAAGGCCCAATGATTCTCTATTGGAATCTAATTCAGATAACATGGTGGCCACCAGATAACTGCCACATTTTTTCCTGCAATTCCATCTGGCGCGGAGGGACCGGCATGGACAGCCGCGTTATCGTGTGTGAAAATCAAGGATAGAGGGGATCCTTGTTGAAAAAATGGTAAGACTCGCTTCGAAAGAACTTCACGATACCCTGTGGAATCTTTGTGAACGGAAACAAAAGCGAGCTCTAGCTACTCACAGGAAGGTCTTTCAGGACATGGAGCCCTTTTTGAAAACGGTTTTTTGCATGATAAAGGGGCACATGCATGGAGTACAAAACTATGCTCCATTTTTTTCTGAGCGGCCCTCCTAATGCCAAAAAAGGTATGAAAAATCGGTCGAGGGATCGGTCCCGGCTGATGACAAAATTTTGCATTTCATGTTAGCGCATGTTAAATAACTCCAAATGTTACCGCCGATAAAAATAGGCACTGTTCTTACAATCAGGGTCATCATCAACCTTTTCTGATTAGCTTTCTGCCCAGAATTGGGGCGAAAAATTGTATGGCGCTAAAGCGGCGCCGAGTTGGTGCCCGAGGAGGCTAAAATGGCACAATATCGCGCCTCCATCAAAAATGGACGTCAGATTCGTAATCAGCGCCTATAATTACCCTTATAGCCGCAGTTTTAGAGAAGATCAAGATTTCGGCCCGAATTCAAAAAATTGGGCCATGGGGGTTAGCCCATAGTCAGTACGGCATGCACGCTTCCCACTTGGAGACAGCTTCGAGATGATAGCAAGCGGCACGTTTGGTTGATAGTTACACTTCCACCGCAGTTCCTGCCCATGGGCAATCTGGCATCACCCCTTGATCTCGTCGATGCATGGCGTATGCCTGGGTGGGCACTGGCATACGTCGACGAGCATCCTGGACGTTCCTCAACGCCGGCAATCTGCCTTCAAGGGAAATGGAGTAGGTGTTCCTTGCGAAGAAAATGACAACTTCACTTTTCTGGCGTTCGTTAGATGCAGTTGGTGTGATCCGCGCCTGTGATTCAGATGCTTCATTGAGTTTTACCATAACTGCTAGTTATTTATTGCTTGTAAACGGAATTTCGTACACAACTGAAAAAAAACATGGTACTACGAAATATCGCAGAATTGTGGGAGAAAGTTCTTGGAAATGACACCTATAGGCTTTAAGTTCACGCGCAAGCACATGCAAATGCAAAAAAGTGATAATCGGAAAAATGCAAAAATCCGAGCATGGAGGGGAACCGAACCAACAACTTCGAACAAACCGTGCCAACCAGAGTCCATCACGCTATCCACTCGACCATCCGACCACCGCTGTCAATGAATGTCAACGACTCTGATGAAACTTCCTTGTGCTTTTGAGCACTTATTATATACAATTTTTGGTATTGGCTTTATTCCACGCTGTTTTCAACGTTCAGGTGAAGAAAACCTTCTATTGTGCGTCCACTTAACATAACGAGTGATATAAACGTTGAAGGTGTGAAAACTCCGATTTCTGAAGAAATTTTTTTCACTCCTTTTTTGGCATTCAGAGGGCCGCTCAGAAAAAATGGAGCCTAGTTTTGTACTCCATGCATGTGCCCCTTTATCATGCAAAAAACCGTTTTCAAAAAGGGCTCCATGTCCTGAAAGACCTTCCTGGTTCAGTCGTTCAAAGGTGCCTCAAACCATAAGGGATTCACCGCCGAAATTACGTTACATTGAAACCATCTGCGATTTTCACGCGATCATCCTGTACCCTCTTTTTCTGCCATATCCACCTAGAATAAACTTTTCCACGTCGATCTCAGACCACCTGTAGAACGAAACAAGGAGGTAGAGTCCAAGATCGCGAAGGGTCTTAACAGCCACACCATCGCTCATTAAGTTGAGCCCTTTTCCACGGAGAAATGGAGACTTGCGATCTTGTAGCGCTCAAATAATCTTGGAACGCTCTTCATCAATCCGTTGAAGATGTTATTGCTCTGCTGGCTTACTCACCACACGGTGGTTTTGCTCACGGAAGGCCGCATTTCAGTACGGACTTTGTTCGGACTCCTTGTATAATTCGAGAGAAGACACCCAATTCCTCCTAAATTTTGAAGGAAACGCAGTCTTTATTTACCTAAGCGACTCTTCTCTCCGCACTGACCAGGATTTTGCACATAGTCGCTTATGCAGTATGAGCCGGCCGACATGGGAGGAAATTCTGCTCCTCAGCTATCCCACTTCAGTAAGTGCTCTAGCTTGAGCTTGTTACTGGGAAGAGAGGCGAATAACACGAGGTATGGTAAACTCGATGTCGACTGAGCCCACATATTTCCCCGCTTCCCTGATTCCCTTCACGGATCGTGAGAAATGGAAACTTTTTATGAGTGGCCCGATATTCATGAAACGGTGAAATTCGTTCTAAAAAAGTTAATTGGGTTACTTGAGGGGGAATTTGTCAGAAAAACACTATGAAGGTTTTCCGTGATGAGGAATCTAACGGTGATAGCAGCATTTCCAAAAAATGCACAGCAACTTTGGGGTAGCAAAAATTTAGGGTGGACCTATAATTATGAAACGCAGTGTATTACAATGTTGTATACTTCGTGGATATGTGGGTGATATCACTTATAAAGGCACATTGCCACCTTGTGTGGTCGATAAGGTTGAATCGACCATGCAGAGCGACATGGTTAGATCCTTTGGCTGATGCTAAAAACATGAGTTGGATTTAGGTCGGCGGTTATACGAAAGACCGACTGCCAGAATTCATATTCTCCGTTACTGGAGTAGCTGAGCACAGAAAATAGGAATGTCTGTCAAAAGTGAGCGCTTAAGCGATATCCAGTTTTAACACGTTGACGACAACGCGCGTTTTGGCTCATTTTGGCCGCGATGGACATGTGCGATTTTGCTAGCGCGGCGGCCGCGGGACACATGCGTCCTGCGCTGTCTCTCAAGGCGCGTTTTTTGGAGGTCGCAACTGAAAAAGGACCCAAACCACACTTATTTGATTTACTCGATAGAGGCATTTAAATAAGTAACTTATTTATCAAGAGCTCACCATGAACAAACGAATATTAAGACGAAAAGGATATTAATTGCTAGCAATACGAAGATTTTTGAAGCTTCTTAGTTTAGTGCATCGTCAATTTTTCCTGTCATTAGCTAAGAAATGTCTGAGAATATTCTGATTTATTGGAAGGATTAAATAAAAATAAAGCCTTGAGCGATATGCCCGCATTAACAGAAATCGTTCATTAAAATACGGAGGAAGAAAGTGAAAAAAATGGAGTTTTCAAGGCCAGTCAACGAGCCCTAACAATGAATCGGTCAACGTTGAGCGGCCGAAAATTGATCTGAAAATACAACTACAGAAAGAAAGACGACATTTGGTTCTTTTCATACTCTGTCTTACTCATAACTCATGACTAGCCATGCATGCGTCATGCACCTTCCTCGAAAAATAATGCAGGAAATTTTCCCGGACATTCGAGCTTTTGGCCTTTCAGTGAGCCAATGTTTCCTCAACGAATATTACTGCTTTAGTAGTAAACGCGGGTTAAACTAAGTAATGAATTATCCTTCCAAGGCTTGTCAAAATCAGTCATCATAGGGAGGTTTCAAAGAACGGCTCTTTACGGAAATTTGTTCATTCAACACTAGGTGTTCGTTCTCGACGATATTTTCAAGTAATTCATTTGTTTGTTTTTTCAGTTTTCCGTAAATTGGAGCAGAACCTTTTTCCCGGGGCCCACCCGAAGGTTGCAGTTTTGTATTTATCTATCTGGGGACCATGCACCGTGAATTTTTGACAGTCCTGTTTTGCGGAGATTGAATTTGTTCATTACAATTAGCACAAAAGCTTTTACATTATGGGTCCCGCACTTTTATAAGAATTCGCATCAGCTAGGCCGATGTCATAGTTTGCGATCGATTCGCAAAACTATGGACAGTTCCTTTTTATTCACCTACCCATCCTAAAAAGAAGTCGAATAATCACAGAAAACTAAAGATTTGCAGGCTTCAGAAAAAACTGTGCAAATTTTGGGCTTAGATAATCTTCCTGTGAACCACGTTGCTTGTAGTTATGATAAAGTAGGTCTATTAGCTGAATGTGGAAAAGCCAGAAAAAAGTTAGTGGTGCGCGAAAAAACTGAATTAGATGGGTGCAGGACACATACGTCCCGCGCTGTCCGACGTGGCCTGCAAAGTGCGGGACGTATGTGTCCTGCGCTGTCGTCAACGTGTTAACAGATACAGTATCGATGCCCTATGGGTTTGGCAGCAGCTTATTGTGTGATGTCCAAGCTGATTTAGTTTTGCTTGATTATATTCCGATATTTTTGCGAAAGATCTACGTATACAGGAATCACTTCAAGCAACTCATAATGGCATCATTAAATGGAATCCTGGCAAAGAACAAAGCTTACCTTCAGTTACATCCCTTATCCAGAGACTTCAGAAAATCATCACGATCGCGTCTCCCAGAATGCAAATGCCAGTGATCAGGGAGAACAGTGTGTACGTCGGAACCCGAAGTAAGGAACAAAATAGAAACTCATCAACCATTCATCAATTTTTCTTAATTCCCTTTTTTCATTAATTTCTGTTTTATTTGTATGCAGTAGAGATTCGAGTTGTCATACTGCACAAAATGAAAGTATTAACAATCAAATGGGGCAGAAATTATCACGGCATCCACTCCGTCCCTTCGCTCAGCACCTTCACTGACTCAGTGAACCCCCACCCGAACCTCTTTATGTTGCTTTAATACTATTCTTAATGTTTCATGCACTTTCGTGACGCGAAAGTTTCAAATGAGCATAACTTCTTGAACGACCAAGGCCTTTGAAGCAGCAGGGTTTAACTCGCTTTGAAGTAGGCGTGGTTGAATCGGCCGAGGGGGCTGCACAACGGCCGATTCAACCACGCCCACTTCGAAGCCGTTCAGCTCCCTTTCTAGCGGCTTTCCAAGGTGAGTTTTTTGTTCAGTCTTCATGTTCTTGACTAGGGCTAGCGCATCGTTCCACACCATTAGTGTCGAAGGTTAAAACCCTGCTGGGACTGTTGCTTTGAAGCATGCGACCACGATGGCTGGAAGCCGTCGCGGTTTTAATAACATTGTGAACGTCACCGGTGGTTAGGCATTAAGAGGCAGCCCAACTACACCTTCAGCGCGCAGTGTCCAACAATAGCGTCGATGACTCCATCCAAATCGAATCGCCCTCCAGTCATCGTGATTGCTGCCTTCGAAATATCTCTCATATTATTGAAGAACTTCACGAGTACCGGGGAAGCATTGCATGTACAAACGCTGCAGTTCTTTCAAATCCTCCTCCGTCCTAAACCAACACTTTACATGAAATCAACAACAGCCACAAAAGATCGAAAAGAAGATAGTTCCCCGAACTTACTCGTTTGATTGAGCCCCCATGAACGCTTCATTCGGATGCTCATGCATGTGATGATGATGTATCTGAAAACATGTAATGATATGCCTCCAACTTTCTCTCTCACTAGAATACCACTAGTTATTTATATTCAGCAAAGGCTATCGGACAAAAAACATCCCGAATGAAACGTCTTGACGAAACGCCTCACACCCCGAGTTCCCTCTACTTGCTTCAATTCGTGAAATGATCACAGGAAGAAATGTTTTCGCCCTTAATTTGTGAATACTATACGCCTTCGGAGAGGGACATGCCGACATTAATAGATCGGCTGTATATCAGCTAGTCTAAACACTGTAAATCAATGAATAAATAATCGTGGAGGAGGCGGTAGTTGTTCAACGCGGGGAGTCAGAGACCACCTTGCCGGAGGGGAACTACAGCGCAGGAATTGGCTTCTTTAGTAGAAATTCAAACAAAAAACCCATCTGGAGATCAGTGGTATGCAGTATCCTCGTATACTACTCGACGCATACGCTTGGGTAGCTTATCGTTCTCCTCAACCAAAATTGTTTTCAGGAGTGAGACTAGACATTGAGAAAATTGTTGGGTGCCCTCATAACTCATCTTGACTTTCATTTGTGCGAGAAAACATTGGGGATGGTTGAAGAAGCAGTCATCGGGCAAGGTTAGATCTGGAGTCAGTTGTAGTACGTCCAAGGAAATCAAAACCAGCTGTGCTCCAGCTCAGTCTGGGTTGTCCCGCCATATAAGGTGGTGGAAGTTGATGGCTGGCGCTGGTCCACAACTGACATCGAGAATGACCGGTGATCAGCCAAGGTCTCCCCTCCGTCCCCCCCCCCACCCCCAAAAAACACACACACACACTCTTACCCGGTCTCAGTATTAACTCTGACATTATACTTGAGAAACTAGCTTCTCCCAAACGGACAGAAAGTCGGTGAGAGGAACCAATTCAAAGAGGCAATTGACTGCTTCAAGGCCCTCTTTCCGAAAGGCCGCAAGGTGCCCAAGCGTTGGCTCCGAGTGGACAAAAACGCTTCACAAATACAAAAATTAATATAATTACTATGGCAAAAAAATGCTAAAACAACACAAGAACACATGCTTACTTTTCTAGCGGTTTTCGCCGTAAAATCACACAATTTGCATTTCTTCACCTCCTTATTCCAATGCGTTCGTACATGATCAACCAAGCGATTCCTTCCCACTTTGGGATGCCATTTCAATTTAGATGAACAACCCTGTAAGCGAACAGCGCAATAAAAGCATATGCATAACGCAGTAGTCGACGCATAACGCAGTAGACATACCAGCATACTGCATTCAAAAATCGTACTCTGTTGCCCATCTTTCAGCAGACTCTTCAGATGATTGGTGCCATTCTAAAAAATGGGCCAGAAGATTCATACAAAAATAAGTTCAGAAAATGAGTAGCTGAGCAGTTTTCAAATAATTATTATACTTTTCAAGCAATACGACGACATGTTTTATAAAGAGAGTACGAATTTTTCTGCGCCCAAGTGACCCGACCTGGATTTCAGCATAACTCTGAAATTCCTCTCTCTCTACTTGTGTGCATTTACTTCTTTAACACTTTTCCAATCGCATAAAAAATATACGAGCGAGCCGTTGATTTGCCTATGGGAGAGCCAGCGTCACGCCTGTCAAACGTCTGTCAGCAACTAACGTCTCAAAAGTAGCCATACTTAACATGTTGACGAATATGTCTGTCAATGCTGACCGGCAGTACTGTACCTAAAAACCACATAAAATTCACATTTTTATCCTAATATTGCTTTGTTGTTCTAATCCTTTCCGCTGTTCTGACAGATCTCCTTGATATTTATGATTCTACATTTTACCAATGTTTTTTTTTTTTGTGATCCACTGAATTTAGGCTGAGATAAAGTTGTCCTTTTCAATAGTCCAAGGCCCATTCGATTGATACTCAACTATTCTGCGGTAGCAATCACTTGGGTACATTGGAGTTCCGAAGAAGAAGGCGTCAAGCTTAGGCAACAACTTATTGATCAATTTATTTTTTCATATCTCCTCCGTTGCGTTCCAAATCACTATCTGCAGATCACGGCGATCCTGCAGAGTCGTTCGTCCCTATTGCTCCGCCGCAACATACGTATATTGCCGCGTATTGATTTAAGTCTTCACAACACCGAGCCATTGACGATGACACATATTATTTCACTTTAGGAATAACTTCTTATTCAAAAAATCCAAAATGTTTCATAATTGAAGTAATTTACGTATCTAGATGGCCAGTACCCTCGCCTTCAAATGACCAGAAATTGTGCAATTGCAGAAATTGACGTGGCATTAACGTGGCATCGATTCAAGAACATCTTTGAGCACACGTGATGTCACCTTTTCATCGAGAATTTAGCCACGTGTGCCAATGCCACGTCAATTTCTGCAATTGCACAATTCTGGTCATTTGAAGGCGAGGGTAATATTATAAGCATGCCGTCATTTGCAGGCCACGTATATATAGAAAATCGCAGCAAGTACGTGCTGGCACTCGTTTCATTCGTATTTCGGGATGCATTACTTCTTCCCAAATTTTTTGTTATATTTCTAAAAGTCACACGACGGACATAAATATGGTCAAATATGCTTCAGTTTAGCGGAGGTTGTCCAAGCATAACAACAATGTCAAAACAGTTGATTCCCTTTTTTGTTTACTGCCATGAAGATGTATTATAAATATTGGGTTGTCCGGAAAGTTTCCGCCGATTTTGACCCTAAATTCAAATGCGCATATCTCGGTTCAAACATAACATTTTTACTCGAAATAAAAGCTGTTATAATCCTCATACGATTCTCTTCGAAACAGATGTCAAAACATTACAGTGGTTGAAAAAGCTGGAATTCTGTAAGCGATAAATCCGGTCAAGGCCATTTTAGCATCATGCTGAACTTCGAAGCATTTCGCTTTAAAGAAGTTGTCCAGACGGTAGAAAAAATGGCAGCGAATACGAAAGAGGTCTGGTGAATGTGATATCAGCAACGCACTTTAGTAGCCCAAACTAGTTCAGTTTCACAGGGTCAGTGCTGCGGTGTAGGTTCGAGACCAGGGCTGGAATAACGGTCGAGAATTCCTCGACAGGGCGGTCGATTGCTTCGGATGAGAGTTGGAAAAGTTGCGAAGGGTTGAATCAAAAAGATATCAACGGACACAGCGGTGCTGCTGCCACTTATTTGCTGTCATCATTACTTTCACAAGTGTTGTAGTTAGCCTAATGCAAATAATATCTCACACCTGTCTGGAATTAAAATTCAAATGGAAAGTGGTGTGTTGGTTTGGTTCGTAGTGATCAGTGTGGCATAGGAAGGCAACGCGTCCTGCAAAAGAATCGTAGGGAAAGGGCAGCGATTATCTACTCTAGAATGATGTACATGCTTCGAAACTTAGTGGAGGAACAGCATCTTGGTAGAAAGTTCAAAACAGGCAGATTCGCAGCCTTCTTGGCATCATCAGATCCTGCAACCGCAAGCGTGTCATTCATCAGAACGGGTTGGAAAGGAAGCGATTTGAATAAAGGAGTGATCAGACATCACTATGACCACAAAAGTTATTCTAATTAGTTAATACTGGAAATATCTTTTGGTGTGATTAAGCAAGTCGTCACTAGGACAAAACACCTTCCCAATGACTCCGAGTGGGGTCACTGCATGGCGCATACAAGAACGGAATGGATCTGCGCCAAGTGCATCATTTTCAATTTACTCCATCGAACTGACGTGTACAGAAGTATTTTGAAGGTGTTCAAAGAAGTTCCCTACTACGGCGAGGGAGTAATAGAGTTTTCGAGTGGCTTCGAAAATTTCCTTGACATTTCCTCGACGCAGATTTCTCGCGAACTAGAAAGCGATCGAAACAACTGGAGCACCTATCAGAAAGCGTAAATCTTCTACTTTACAACGCTTTCCTCCGATTTTCAAAGCATTGCCAATGAAGACAGCTACTGTCTTCAAAGAGTGGGAACTCGCATGTAAATTTCAATTTCCTCGACAATTCCTCGACGTCTCCCACTCTCGAGAATAGGCGTGCTTAGAAAAACGCTCAGCACAATTTAGAAACTAGAAGTCTTGTGCATTCAAAAGCTGCCTTCACTTTCTGAAATGGTTATCAATGAAGAAAGTTATAGTCCTTTGAATAGGGGGTACATTTGACGATTTTTCCAACTAGCGCGCTCTAGGCACAGCGCGCGACGCGATCGCGGGTAGTTAGCGCCGCTATACTGGAGCGCGAGACTGTTCAACTGTGTAGGGGCAGTACCTCCTTCAATGTTCTACTTTCCGGCCAATGTGGCAAAGGTTAAATGTCTTTAAAGGAAAGAAGGAGAACCTAATCTGAGCAGAATTGAATCTAGCATTTGGATCAAAGCCGCATTTGCGTGGCAGTGGCGCTGCGTCCCACATCTGGAAACTAGCATTTTTTGATATGGAACCGGATGTGCAGAGGACAAAAAGGGGTCGTATCAGAGTCCATGTTTGGAGGGAGGTCGTAAAGAGGCGGTTATTTCCTCGACACGATTTTCACCCTGTCTAGACACATTCAGTGGAGGAGTCATGCCCTTTTAGATAATTATTATTGAGCGCACTCATAAAAGTTTTCGGTGTATTTGAAACCTTGTTGAAAGTAGAGTCCACTGCAACATTCCCGTCTGAGCTTGAAGAGCCGCACCTGCCACAATCCTTGTGAAAGTGCTCACAACTCTGCCCTCGTACATTTCCACCTTCTAAAAATTTTGCTGACCCTAATCTCGATCAAAGTTTCTAGAGGAGGTTCTCCGATTATTGCCGCGAATCATTTCTGTGCTGCACGTTACAATTCAGTCAAGAAAAGGGTCGTTTTCATTGAGAAGAAGAGGGTAGAAGGAGAGCGGATGAGTGCTGGAAACAGGGACTCTCAGCGCTACTCACTTGTCGACTTTTCCAAAATTTTCGGGTTACTGCATTCATTTTAAAATCACAAGTAGGTTGAATTTAATTTAGTATTAGGCTCTTCTACCGTTCTGTGCAGATTTGATTTAGTCGAAATCTTTAGTTAATTTTTATTCATGTCCGATATCCAACCTCTACCCAATTCATCTTCGAGGCTCTCGCAATTTTTGGAGAAGCTATCTGAACCATTGCTGCACAGCGCTGTTTTTGTGAATCTTGGACCAAACACATAGATGATATTGCAACTTGCTCGCGCCTCTCTTCGGCTATTTATGGTTGAAATAATGAAGTAATGCGGAATCGCCTTTTGACCAGGTGGTTTTCAAGGCTTTAGAAAAGTGGCAACAACTATTTCGAACAAAACGGACACCACCACTGGATAGAGCGAGAAACGCGCTTCAAAACGATATACAAGCTGCAGCAAGTTACTGAAAATTAGTTGAGAACTAAGCCATTCAAATAGTGCTACCAAAATCGGCGGGAACTTTCCGGACAACCCAATAAAAAAGCGAGCCTTGTACAAAGAAAAAATGAGCTTGTCATAACGTGTCAAAAGGCTTGATAAAATCAACTGCCTCACACCTTGACAATACGCGACGCTACCGTGAGCCTTTTTCCTCCACTGTTATTAGGTATGATTCTAGGATTCCCTGAGTGTATCGCCAAAAATAATCAATGTAAGTAGGATTGCTAAAGGTCCTCACCTTATTTGAATTGCTCTCTCGAAGTATTCCGCCCAAGTTTTGAGATTCTTTCGACGACTCCCGAGTGCGTTTTCGACTACAGCTGCTACTTTTCTTTGCAGCCCTTCCCTGTTTCTTCTCCTCTTTCTCTGAACTCATGTCGAAGTGGTCACCGCACGAAGTGATCGGTGATTTGGAAAGATGGCCGAGGGCTTCTTCCAATGCTGAGGCATCCCTGAGAGCATTAGCTTGGTCTCTACCGGCTACAGCAGTACTTTCATCATGAGAAATGGAATCACATGGTGGTGCTTCCGCTTCAATAAAAGTTCTGGTCCCTTCTTTCGCTATCATATCAAACGTATCTTCAGTCTTTATTATTGAAGAACACCCATTTACAATAGTCATAGGCGGCCATTCCAAACCGATTCCTTCCAAACCATCGGAGATAACTTTGGAAGGACTGCAGTCTTCAAGAACGTCTTGAAAAATTAGCTCGGAAAAAGACTGCTCAGAAGTTTCGGCGGTTTTTAATGGAGCTTCCTCGTTGGCTTTAGCTATCAGAGAGCTCTCCGGCAGTGGAGTCTTTCCGAGAGCCTCATTGACACCGAGAGTTTCGAGATCCTCTGCATACATCGTATCATGTGCTTCTCCATCGATGTGATCTATAGCCATCCTTTTTGAAAGATTACCAGAAAATCATTAAATTGCACACTCTGCAAACTCACGCGAGGCGTCTAAAATAGTACCACCAGCTCTGGTAGGATGGCCACCGTCGCGAAGCATAGGCTTCGGAGAAGGGCTACTTTCACCGGTTCTACAACGCATTCCTTTGTATTGGCCGGCTGTGACCGCACAATGAGGAGCCTGAAGAGCCAGATTTTGTGACTAGCTCTTGCACAAATTCACAATTGCAAAGTCAATCTGGCAATCTCACCTCAACAAACGATCGTGTTATATTAGGCGTAGAAATATGATAAGCGAGTGACTTCGCACGGCGATCGTCCTGCAGTACTACAGATTCCTTCACACCAGGAGTCAGTATTGGAACATCCATAACGATAGAACGGCAACCAATATTCTGCTGTAACTAGAAAAAATGAGAGATAGGAAATAAAACAATGAAAGCTGAACAACTCACAAGTATACTCTTCATGTCAACTCCGCGCTCTCGAAGTCCCTCTAAATTTGTGTCATAGATATTGATTTGCACATATGAACAAGGAAACGACCAGTTTACGTTTGTGACAGTCGGCGGGAGCGTTCGACCCCTCATGGCAGATTTTCAGCTGGAACCAGACGACTTTTTTTCTATCATTCACCATCAATTATTAGAGTTTAACGATCATGTTGGTGATAGTCCAACTATAGCTAACAAAGAAGGCCGGTTTTGTTATGACAAAAGAAGCGTTAGGAAGCTTTTCAGTCTCAAGAGAGTCTTTGAGTCTCAAGAGAATACCACATAACGAAAAGACCGCAAGTAATAAATGGGTAGACCGCACAAAATAAAATATACAGCTACTTGGTTGATAGCAGTTTATTCACAGTGAATTTCGGAAGAGTAACAAGAACAGGAAACGTCAACAATTAATAGAAACAGCACATACAAACAATGAGAGAGCTTAGTAGTTCGACTAAAAATCTCAACAACAACTCTAGGCAGTTAGTGTCCTATAGAATAAAAAAATAGTGACGTATAAACACACGAAGCATTCCAAAAAAAATGTAAAAAACGCTTAACATTTGACAAGTGCTAACTTTCGGCGCTATTACAAGATCTGGGGCGTCGAGATGACAATTCATTTGAAAGCTCGTTAAACTCCTCATTTTTACTGAAATCGGGGCTAGCCTATGGCAAGGGAAGAAAGATCCAGGGTGCGCGAAGATTTCATAAAGTTCGTGCCCTTCCTAGGTCCAATATTAAAGGTTGCCCTTGCATGTTGCGACAGCGCCAAAATTTCGTTAGTGATTCGATTTTTTGAACGCTTTTCGTCAGTAAATGAGCCCATTTTCGACGAGACCTGAACAATATACTCTGTGTCAAATCAATGAGAACAAATAATCACTGAAATAAATTCTGCTTTCAAATTTTTGCTTGCGCCTTTTGTAGCGGAAATCTTCAAATAACCGAAAGTTTGATCGGTTTTTTATCACCTAGAAATAACAACAAGCAAAACGACAAGGATATCCAGCTTCTGATCCACCGATCCTTATCTAATTCTCAGATGCAGTATCCCAAGCCTAGGCAGTAGCAGGATGTGCCTTGGAACATTCTAAAGATTCGCTGAAAGCCACCAAACTCACCCGAAAATACATCATGCATGTACATGTACTAAGGAACGGGGTGGGGAAGGAGAAGAGAAGGATGGATGTAAGAGCTGGTTGGAACGCGACAAAAGTTACTCCAGAGAAACGTGTTGGAAACGACAAAGGCGGAGACAAAGATAAAAGCAGCCCATTAGAATCCATGTATGAGGTGGTCAGCGGTGCAGGAATGAACAAAAATTATAGGAAAGAACCCAGAAAGAGAAATGGCAACCCCTTCTTTGAGCGTTGACTTCTGCATTGATACGACTTTCATCTATGCTGCCGTCTTCAACGCTAACGTTCACTTTTCTGTGAAGCTGGAGTGCATGGACACGGGCGCGGCACGGCATGGCCATACTCTGCTAGGCCGCTAAGAGCAGACCCTCCACTGGGGCACGCCATTAGGGCCGCCGCCCTTTCGAGCACATTTACCCTTCCTCGATCCCTTAGAGGAACCCTTTTTTGACACAAGAACTTTACGCCGTTCGAAAGACTTCACGGTAAATTCAGAGGTCGAAGAAGAGGAAATATAGCTGGTTGAAAGTCAGGCGGGCCCCTATGGGCGCCGGACAATGCGTGTTTCTTACTAGTAAAAGATATGCCCTTGGCGGCCTAGCGGGGTCATACCCACGCCGCTCGCGCCGCTGCACGCCACCTGTGTGTAGCTTCTCGCCACCTGAATCAAGCCACTTAGCAAAGGGGAGAGAGAACGTTAGCATAATGAGGGCAGCAGTGATGAGAAAGGATCAATGCGGAAATCAACGGGCGAAGAAAGAGTCCCACTTCTTGGGTTTGGGCCGAATTTCCACGTTCTTTTTTCTTCGTTCGCATCACTGCCCACCTCTCCTTGGATTAAGATAGGCTGCTTTTGAATCATGCCCTCCGCCTTTAGTAAAGCGAGAAACTATTTGCTCCGAAAATGACAAAATCAAAAGATTCGTCACGATGGAAAAGGCTGAACACCATGCGAATCTCCAAAAGGATCAATCAAGCGTCTGTTGTATCGACTTTCCAAGGAAGAGTGGGATAGGTGATCTTCTGGTTTACACTCCGTGAGCGACAAAATAATGCGATGCGATGAATTCACAAGGCCACGTGGACATGATTTCAAGCAACGATCAGCCTTTGATACTTCGACGTTCGAATGCTCCTGAATATGCAAAAGTGCATCGAATACTTTTTTAGGCTGGTGTCAGAGTCCGCAATCCGTCGCAGGTTTCGCGCGAGTAGCGCGAATCGCAAAAATCGCAAGTGCCCCATTTGAACATTTGAAACACTGAATATGAAACAAGTAGAATCATGAACAGTCGTCATTCAACCATCACCATCAAGCAGAAATGGCGGCGGGATTGGAAGCAGAGTCAACCCTGCGTTGCGCAGTTCTCAACGGCCACGTTGCGCAGTTTCGCCCGATTAGACACGTTCTCTCGCGCGAACATTCACACTCGCATGCTCGAGCCGTCTGCGTCTCCGCCCATACAGCGTGCGTTGAGGATCTCTCAACGTGCCGTTGCGAACTGCGCAACGCAGGGTTGACTCTGATTGGAAGCACATTGTGGTATATCCGGGCACATGTGATTTCGCGAATCGCGCAAAACCTGCGACGGATCGCGGACTCTGCACGAGCCTTAGAGATCACTATCACTGACTCCTTTGAATTAGACACACAATTAACTTGCAGGCGGAGCTTTATAGAATGCAGACAGAGCACATAGTTTGAGAGAGCAGCGAACGAAAAAAGTTCATGTAATAATGGTCTTGACCTTCAAGATATAAAACAAATGGAAGTCCAAAGTCGCTGGCAGAACCTACGCAAAATTGAGTGGAATCCATTTTATGTGAACGGATGACCCTAAAATCCATAAAAAATGTGTATCCCATCTGACAAACCTCTCCGCTGTATCCTTGGCTGTTCAGCCACTAGAAAAACTGGAATATATAATATGAACTATGTGAGTGACTCACCCGGAAAACATCGTTTCCAAAGCAGCAGAAGCTGTTGCATGTCTTCATTGGTCCTGTAATTGGATATCAGTTTATGATATACCACTATTTTATCTTGAACAATGTCACCTTGCTTAAGATTCAGAAGATTTCAATGCATGGCACCCCTAAGCCTAAGCCCCTCCACCATCATTCGGATAGTGGATGGAGTCAGACTCAACCGCAGTTTAGCCAAGCGAGACGGTGGATCGTATTTTTTCGGGAATGGGGGTCGTATTTAGGGTTTACAGAAGTTAACTCAGTCAGTTCGATAGAAGTCGGGAGAGGGAAGTCAAGGAGGTCGCGTTTGTAAGAGATGGTTGTTTCAGATGTTTTGTCCCACCCCACCCCAGCATTCTCCTCCAGGCAGTTTTGAAGGGAAAACATGGGGAATTCTAGTTTCCCGACAACCTTCTAATCACTCGAAGCAGCCCTGTTGTGATGGTGGAGGTTAAAGGAATCTTCCACGGACCATGGACCAGTGGGCGGGACCGGAAGTGGTTTTGCGACGAAATGCATGGTAGGTACGGATCCACGTTCATGGGAAGGTTTGAAGTGAATCCTGTTCACGTTCGTGCGTTCGACACGTGGATCCGTACCTACCATGCATTTCGTCACAAAAACTTCCGGTCCCGCCCACTGGTCCATGGTCCGTGGAAGATTCCTTTAAGAATACATGTCGTTTTGATAATTTTGTTGCATGATCAATCTGTTTGAGCGTTTAGTTAGGAAGAGGTCAGCGCAAGCAATTAATGAGGTCACCCCTAGGCAGGTCTGAGGAGGGCGAGGCACATTACAGTAACCCCTTAATTGGCTTACCGTATGCAATTATATTCTAAGTTCCGCCACCCCCTAAGCCTTAATGTGATCTAAATGCACAATTTGCGCCCTTGTGGATACGGATATGTGTATTGAATGTGGATTCCCCTGAAGATCACAAAACAATCAAATTTCCGGACAGACATCAGATCGATGCAGATGCCCGCCATACTCCAAAAATATTTCGGAACGCATCGGTTGTCGATTAAGTGAAGAATAACAACGCACGCACGCCTGCAAACGCAGCAACCATAATCACGACCTGGTAAACAACAAAATACCGTTACGACTTTACCGCAGATAAGGTAAAGCTGGCATTGGGTGTGGCATGTTCTCTGTGTACGAAGCTATGTTCAAAAAGCCTACATAATACCCATTTTATGGCTTTGGAATGATGACAAGACACCTGACATGTGAAGATTACTTTTTAATAGTGACTATTTCATGAATTGGTTGGCTACAAAAAGTTTATATCACAAGATTTGGTTCATCGCAGCTACAAATGTAAGTGGGCTTAGTGCCGATAGTGTTCTTTCTAATTTCTATATAATAAAAAAGAATTGCCTAGCAGCGTGCATCATTTAACTAAAGGAGCAGTGAGCTTCATAAGCTCCACTTGCAAACAAAGGAGAATGGGTACTTAAAAAAACCTTACTCTGCAGAGGTTGCTCCCGTAATACGGCCGTATTGCTATGCTTTATTTTGTGATGACGATAGACCTGTGAAAAATACACAAAAAATACAGTTCCAATAAATTCCAAATTCCAAAATTGAGCTTACCTTTCTTGGGCATGACGCTTTATAGTCACAAATTTTGCACAACTTAACAGCGTTACTCCAGTGAGTGCGAACGTGATCAACTAAGCGATGCTTTCCATACTGGCGACGCCACAGCAGTTTTTTACCGCAACCCTAGACGAACAGTCATTCGTTTTCTCAACATCGCGATATCTGATAGGTGTGGTTTCTTGGCACCCACCAGGAATCGAAGTAATACGGTTATCAAACCAGAAAAATTATCCGACTTATTTTCGTAACTATGTAGCAACAGGAACCGATATGTTGGGATTTCGAAAAACAAACCGGCATTTGGCAGCGAAAGATTTTATAGCTCTCTGCAACAACACAAGGTAGAGCGTCATCATTTTCGGAAACCTAAATTGAAACGATATATGTATTTTACACCAAATCCTCATAAATTAATGGTAAGATGTTGATTCATTATTTCCGGATCACTTAGTCGTTCCCGACATAAATCTTTTCGCTATTCCACTAAACCAATAAAATATAGCATCGAAGTAAAATTAGATGTCAGTATCAATCTATTGTTTGTGGGAGTCAAATTTCTTCTCATGAATGTAGACTAGAAGAAGAGGCGGTAATAGGATAGCGCAGCCCTGTTTTATTTCCAGCTGTATGACGTAAATCTAAATATTGGCTGGAGACCTATGCATTGCCCGTCAATAGCCAAGAAGTGTTACGCTAATCCTTGATATACTTAATACTGTTTCAGAACAACCCAGTGACTATGGAACATGGTTGAAAATTAGCAGCAGCTTGTGAAGAGATAAAAAGGACTCACTTGCAATGAGTGAGGTTTTCTTATTATGCTCAGACTTGTCAGTAGCGGGCGGAGGGCCCTCTTCAGGTGGCATCGGCGTTTTATTCCCTTGCTAGACTGTCGCAAATTCCGCCCCGGATTCCGCTAGCCGAATCGCGTAGTACGAGCGTCGCACCATCTATTCTAACGATACACGTTCGGACCGAAGTGTGCACCAGCGGCTCGAACGATTTACAGCGACTCGACAGTCTTCGAAATTGGTATCCCTCTCGTTCGCACCTTAACTCTTTTGCTACTTTCTGGGCTCTCATGCTCTCATAAGCCTGGAAAAGTGGCGAGAGTCAGTGCAAACGAGAGAGAAACCCGACCCTTTCAAATGCTGTCGAGTTGCTGGTACATCGTGTTGGTGCAACGCTCTTACCCCGCACTTTGTTTTCAAACCCATGGATGCGCAAAGTCTGATGCCGGCCTTAAGAAATCAAGGCTCAGTTCTGAGAACCAAATTATCCAAAAAAGAAGAAGTTTACGACAAAGCAAATGCCTTCATGGTAGACTTAATGTCTGCTGGTTTGCAGTACTAAAATCAGGAATTTGGTTGCCGTTCCCCACTCTGTTGAAGTCTCGGGTGATGTGCGTGGCAACAAGCTATATTGAGTGGTCCAAAGTTCTCGAAAAATTAGAGTTCCAGTCATGAGAAATAAATGATTTGGTCATCTGTTCAGTTTGTGTAACCTCATCCCACGTTCAAGACATGACCAGAAAACGTCGTCACTTTCGTGAAATTCCTTAACGACCCAGAAACTATGGACCAACCTACCCAAGCACAAAAAGAAACACGTACCTCACCACCACAGTGATCGCCTTCTCCAAAGCTTAATTGTTCCTCAATTCTGTCCAACAAAGAAGGTGCATATTCATTTCTTTTGCTCTCAGGCTGCGCGCTGGATTCAGCTGAATTTCTCGTTGTATTGTTATCTGAGGTGCTTTCATTGCCAACCGATGTGAACTCGTGCGAAATGGACGCCTGCTTGAGCTGAGTGGCGATTCTTTCCACATCACTAGAGGAAGTCGACTGGAAGTTGGTGGCATCCCTTTTGGAGGAAGTCGAAGGCCTAGCAACTCGAGTTATTTCATTGGATGTTGCTTCAGTACACTGCATCAATGTACCGCTAGTCACGTTTTGCAAATTTTCCTGACCTTCATCTTCGGAAGAAAGAAAGTTGAGTTCATGGGTTCCTTTTGCTTGACATCGAAGAACTTCTTCAGGAGGACATTTCTCGATTGAGCTGAACACCCCAGGAATATTGCGATCGTATGGAAGCTTGCCAACACTTGAGCAAGAATAATTAGCGTCATTTGAACAGCCAGGCAAATCGTAACATAACATTGCAGTGTCCAAATCTGCCATTACACTATTAACCGTTTCTATTCCTTTTCGGATCTGATGTGGAAGAGAATCGAACGGTGGATTTGCGACAACAGTATCTTCATTGATGCCGGGCTCTTCTATCTCCATGACTTCGGAAGTGAAGAAAGATGTATTGGGCGCGGTAATATCTTTCACCAGCGGTAATGGCATGATATTTGCTTGTGCATCAGAGATAGAGGAAGCCATAGAAACCGCCGCATCTCTTCCATGTCCCGCCACATTTGTTACTGACATTGGAAAAACGCCCTCTGTCACCCGCTCTGATTCTTCGTTATGCGAATTAACACTTCTCTTAAATAAAGAAATAAAGAAACCGCCAACAGTCAGCTACTCAAAGAACCAACAAAGCACACACTTACTAGAACACCGTCGAAATCATCTACACATTCTTGGAACAAGGTCATTTCGTCAACATCTGCGACCTTCAGGGAAGAAGCTCCACCGCTGCTTTCGTGGTGCCTTGTCGGAGTCTTCGTACAAGCAGGTCCATTCTGCAGACGCTCAAAATAGAGAACATTCTCAATAAAATCGAAGTTAAAAAAACATAACAACTGAAAGTGATTTTCTCATAAGTTTTTTTTTACCGAATCCATATCAGTCTCGAACTTACTGTGATCCCTGTGATCCACCGCAAGAACTCCCGAAAATGAAGTCGTCAAAACAGCCCCCGTGTTTTCCAGTTATTGGTGTCGATGTCAAAGGACCTGAACAGAAGTGACGGTAACCGTAAGCTCAAGTCAAACTTGCAATAGTATAGGTCATTAGAAAAGCTCCCACAACAGACTTATGACCCCATAATTTTGAAAGCACACATCTGCCTCCAATATACGGCCATTTTTGATCGGAAACGGAAACAATGTATAATCCCATCCTTTGCCTACATACATACTTGCAATCAATCAACAGTCACACTCAAATCGCTGAATTAACTCCCTTCCGCCTCCAGACAAAAAAAATTTCCTAAGACTCCCGAACAGCCGAGACTTTACCATCTAACTAACCTCTTCGCCCTTCGTCAGCGGAGACGACAAAGGAATTCAGCAATGTAGTCGCTGAAGCGGTCTCATCTTTTATTGCAGCTTCACCTATGTCATACTCTTCATCCTGGAAGCAATTTGAAAACAAGGCACTCCAGTACCACCTCTTGTAGACTTTTGAAAGTATGCTAATAATTCAACGAAAATCCGATCTCATCCCCTCTTGGACAATGAGAAGGCTAACAAATAAATGCGTGCTCCACAACACACTAACCCACTTGTTGAAACACACACTCAGAGGGCATGTACTCCATCTCGAACAAATCCACTGATGATAGAAAAAGAAATACGCACTATATAACTGGCGGCTGCAAATTGCCCTTTAGGTCGTTTTTTTGTTACGAGCTGAGGAAGGATGTGCGCCTTATAGTGCGTCAAATATTACAGAAGACGGGAACTAGTACTACTTTATAACGCTTCTTGTGCTGTCATAAATGAGAATACGTTCATAATAAAAAATGGAAGGAAGTTCCCTGTCCAACTCTATGTTGAGCTGCACCAGGAATATGTTCTTCTTTTAATGGGTTGAATTTAAGTGATTGTTCAGTCAGTTGCCCTTCCCATACTTTGATGTTAACTCGTCCATTGACTACGGGATCACCTCACTCAGCTCAGTGAATTAACAGATAAGCAAGTCATGGCAGAAAATTCACAGAGTAAAGCCCTACTCACATTCTCGGGATAATCATAAAATCCTCCGAACGACTTGACACGTCGGGTACTAGGTTGCACCGCGGTCAAATTATGGGATATAATAGGAACTTCCATAATAACACAGCGATAGCCAGTATGCTGCTGAAAAATTTGCAAATTTTAATATTAAAGAATCATAAACCATGACAACTACAAATCTTACCAGCATATGTTTAATATCAACACCCTCTTCACGAAGCCCTTTGAGGCTCGCGTCATAGATGTTAATTTGAACATAAGATGCACTCTTCCAAGCAGACGGTTGTTAGGAGGGTTATAGGAGTATACATTTCTCCCTCATGCGATCGTGTCGTTAAGCTGGATTAGGCTGTCAGAAAGAAACTATTACAACAACGTACCCAGAAGAACTAAACAGTAATTACATATCTGATGGAATATGATACAACCTCTCCCCCTACCAAAAACCTTCTAGGCCACACCCAACACAGTTTTTAATGTATTATAAAAAAACCGTGCTGAACCGCACAAAAGAAATCAAATTCGGAAGACGAAGGCATTCAACCAGTGCACCTCAGAACACTATTAATAGAAATGACAAGTTGGACTGTTTTGGTATTAATGTTTATGTTTACTCAGTAGTAACGATAACAAGAAAACAAAAATTTACATGACAATGCTCAAAGCAACAACATGCTCACAATTCACATTGATGCCTGAAAATGCAAACAAAACGTAACAAAAACCAAACCTGCTCGCGCGTATTCCAAAGCAAAACAAATTCTGATTAAAAATAAGGAAAAAACAATAGCCACTACTCACGAATCACAGACTATAAGCACAAACGAATACATAAGAGAGATCCACCAAATGGTTGCAGGATGGTAAGCGTACAGTTGAGTGGCAGAAAAAAAAAAAAGAAAAAAGGGAGAAACGTGAGAGATTCATAATCCAAAAAAGACATATGTAAAAAACAGGAGTCATGCTGAATATTACGAACCCCAGCGAAGGCGTCTAAAAATAGAGCTTGTCGCTTGGCGGCTATGGCTGAGCGATTAGGCGAGATGCTATATCGCATTTGTTCTGCTTAGATCTACTGAGGCAGGGTAGACTCTTCAGTACCATCCAAAGCTTTACCTCTTCAAGTCGAGAGGATTGATGCCTTTGGCCTCAGAATCAGTAAAAATATTCTAAAGGCCGTTGCAGTACTCATTTTCATGAAACCTTGAATCGCACCTAGTGAACGAGAAGACAATGATGTTTGATTCGAACGAAGAAGAATGCCACGGGCAACATCATCGGGTCTAGATACTCCTTAAATTTTATGCTGAGATTTTCACTACAGAACTCACTCTTTTTCACTACTATTTATACTGAATTATTTCCTTAGAAGACATATACCTTGCAGCCGACCATATATTATTTGTATTTCGATATATAGGAACCAGTCTTCTATGCAAGGGAACCAACTTTTATGAAACCTCAACAAGACTCAACACACTATGTCGAGTCAACACGATGGTCTGAGAATACCCGTCAGAGGGGGTCTGACTTTTTAAGCCTACCAAGCAGTACTTGTCAAACTTCATGGATTCGCAATGATGACTAGACCTTGGTAATTGCTATTGGCGAACGGAGGCGAGCATTGGCATGTGGTTTACGGTGTTTTTTTTTTGAAGAGGGATCTTCTTTGGGGCAGATGAGGGCAAAACTTCAAGTGTGAAGATTAGTCGAGGTCAGTCGGTCTACAGCTGATCTTCCTACTATCACAGACAGACTGCTGTCGCTTGCTCAATCTCGAAGCAAATTTGGAAGTTTTTTTTAGGAGAAGGAATTTAATTCAATGATTATGAAAGTGATTGGTTGATCCACAAATAAGATCACACCCCACCTCATCCATAGGAACGGTCAACTTTCCCATGCGCAAAGTTGCCCCTTTGAGTCACAGTAACATTCTTTTCTAACAAAAAAATCGGTGTTATACAATTGTCTATGTGGAACCTATAGTTGGATGACGAGACACAGAGAATCATTGTCAAGGCACCGTGATTGTCACTGGAATTAGTGGAATCATGTTCATGACACCAAGCTGGGAGGCCCAAAAACCGTTGGCGTTCGACATGATTCTCGGCTGATAGGTACTTATGTGTTACCATAATTTCTGACACAAAAGAAACAACTGTGGAAAAAGTGTCATACCTGGGAAGCACATTTCCCAAAAATGAAGCAACTCTTCCATGTCTTCCTTAGTCCTTGAGATAATCAATATAGCTACACGTACCTTCTCGTCCTAAGGGGAAAAGTTAGCGCGAAAGTGAAGAAGCTCACTCGGTCGATAGGCTGCTGCGCTAACATACCCGCCACACCTGGATGTTTGAATTTGCTGAGTGATTGGGTTGCATCTGTAACATTTGCAGAAGAAGAAAAACAAAGGAAATGAAGAAAGTCAGGTGGAGTGCAATTCAGAATAAAGCTACTCTTGTCGGAAAGTGAAGGCCTTTGAACCGATATTCGACAGCGTTGTTACCGCTTTAAGCCAGGGTATGACGCACCTCGCTCTTAGGCAAATGGGCGACCTTTTCCATAACCGCACTCGCTGCAAGCAACTTTCGACCGGACCAATTACTAAGTGACAGACTCGGATATTGAATACCTAAATATATAATGGTTTTATAATTATTGAGTAGGTCCTGTAATTTCTTCAATATTCTCAGAAACAGCCATCTGACCTTTCGCTCATCTGCATCTTACCTTTGCATGAAAAAAAGGAATATAAAAGTTGTCTTTATTGTTTCCAGAGGTAGAGGTTCGGTTTCCGTATGCGAGATGCTTTTGCCCATGACCCAATATTCTTGTGACAATTATCAAACTATTTGATTACAACACGCTGTGGGGGCTCCACCTCGGGAATGCTCACCAAGAAACTAGAAGTACCTCAGTTCAGGATAGAAGCGTTCATACATCATAGACACGAATTTAGCACTACCCTACAGCATCTACTATCTTACTCATATAATTATGTAACAAACATTGCGCTTGGAGAACTTTTCCCTTGAAGTAGGTAATAGTTCTGTGGGTTTTCACTGTGCTACAATATGAAACCAGAACATTCGGAAACAACGATATCAGGTTCTTTGAGCCCCTTGTACTACAATCCACTTAGGGCGAGATCTTTTATATAAAATGAAGCCGCCAAAAGTTTTTTGTGTAGTTCCAACTATAATATGTACATGCGTTGAGAATTTTTTTCACAAAAATTGAACAAACCGGCATGTGGCACCGTATCGAGCTGTAACCTTCAGCAGGCAAACAGATAGGGTTGTCAGAGTCTGTTTCTTCCTTCTGAAGAAGGGCACGGAAAGAAGTGAAAATTTGAAGGCCTTCGGTTAATGTCATTTATTTACCTTTACTACTGCATGATTCATTTCCAGAGACACATTTTCCTTACTTGTATCTCCCCCGTCATCCGACAATGATAAAGGCGTAAGCTAAACACGCATCGGATAACTTTGAAAAAGAGTTATACAAAAAAGTTTCGAAGAATCACCTTATTAACATCGCAGTTGTCACCACGTTGTGAGACAGCGGCCAACGAGTTTTCCAGCATGGATTTTGCAAGCATACGGGAGCTTCCCTGTGAAATACGGGAATGTCCAGATGTAGAGTGCTTATCAGTGTTGGGCTTTTCGAAATCACCAACACCACATACCATTTGGTTTTCACTAACAGGAGTGTGATGTGATGAGCTAGCCTCACAACTCTCCTCGAAATAACTGCATTCAAATATCTTCGAGCTGTCGATTACGACTGTTTCTGCATCAATTTTTGTGCAGCAATCATTGTGAGCGTTATCCATCGTCGCGATATTCGCACGTGCCACTGAATCTTCATTGACTGACCGCAATCCTTGCACTATTTCGCGAGAAAACAGATGAAATGAATTTTCCGCTCCATCAGCATCATCGCTATGGACAGGTTTTTCCAAATCTGCTATGCCACTTGAACCAGTTCCAATTTGGTTATCAAGGGACGTATTTTCCATTTGCGAGGTTGGGGTGGAAATTAGAGCTCCAGCCGAAGTTGTAGGGACAGCTAATGGACTACCAGCCGACTGCATCTCCTCGGAGTCCATTGGAAGGATGTGAAGTGACGAAGTGGTATGGAGGCTGTCATTCAGTAAATTCGCATCCATGGTTTCTGCTAAGTTATCCGAGGAATTTCTGAGGATGCCCTGAAGAAGGAAATAAATATTCCATTTTCGGAGGATGCATGAATGTCGTCAATTCACGAGAACCTTCTCAAAATATGCACCAGAAACGTTAAGCATAAGCAAAAAAATTGGAAATTAGATGAGACAGGAAAGGCGCATAACTATTTAGAAGAAAAAAGCTCAGTGCACTACATTAGGTCATTTTGAGATCGAAGTTGCGAAAATTTCAGAACGAGCACAAGAAATCCACTCATCAAATCTCCTTCTGAATTTGCATTCAAAAAACTCCCAAAGCAAGCATTTTCTTTTCCTGGATACGGAGTGGAAGTTAGAGGACCTGGAAAAGTAAATGTAAAGAAATGGAAAACCTTTGAAGAAGTAATCCCTACGTTCTTCTTTCGAAAGGGAGTAGTCCACATCATCCCTAGATGCTTCCAAAAATGAGCACGTTCCGTCAGAATCAGGGCCTTCGCCTATCACGGAACCATTTTTCTGCAATTAAAGGTACATAAAGCAGTTGAAATCAGCAATATTTATAATGTGCGTGGAACAAATTATTATTTAATAAGCCCATCACTACCCAATAAAGGTAAGATTAATCACAAGTTTCCCTCTCGAGTATCCAGTTTTCGGGTCTGCTCCAGTTAGGAGGGAGGCATCATGATGCACTTTTTCCAGAAGCTACGGTAACTCGAATCTTGTTCAATGAGTTCTCTGATGCCAAGAAACACAAAGCTTTAGAAAGAAGGCGCAATGTGGCTCGGGGGAGGGACAGCTGCCACCGCGGCGCATGGCATGTTCACTCCCTCTCAGCGAAATAGTGAAACTCGAACAATTCAGCTTTTAACGACAAGGGACTCGCCTCACCCCATCCCCCTAGACTCCCTACACGCCCCTTCGCTCAGGCCCCAGCGGTGCCAGAGATGAGACCGCTCAGGCGAAAAAACGCAGAGGCGAAATAAAACGAAATACGTATCGTCTGAGCGAAGACGCACAGGAGAATCGTGAGGCCGACGTCATACTTTGCGAATCGAGCGAATCGCTAGCGAATCGAGCAATC